GGTCTGCCCTCCATTCCGACCAACCCCTGGCCAATTCATTAACTCCACGTCCGTTTTACTTTTTTCAGGGGGGGACAAACCTGGGTTTGGTTTTATACCAAATTAAAGTAATTGACGTGTATTTACTTTTTCACCAACTCATTAAATTAACTAAGGTTTTCTGTATGTGTATGTGTATACACCTCAAATTAACTCAATATTTCTTGGGTTAAAAAATTCTCCAATAGAAAGAAAATGACAGTATTTCCTACTTTTCGTCAGAATTTCGTAAAAAGAATCCCTTCATAACGTATTTACTTTTTCACCAACTCATTAAATGAACTAAGATTACTGTATATGTATGTATATAATTTTCAAATAAACTAAACTTTTCTTGGATTAAAAAATATTCAATAAATATTTTTCAATAAGGAAGAAAATGACAGTACTTCCTACTTTTCGTAAGAATTTCGTTAACAGAATCCNAAAATGACAGTATTTCCTACGTTTTGTAAGAATTTCGTTAACAGAATCACTTCATAATTTATTTACTTTTTCCCCCAACTAATTAAATCAACCAAGATTTTCAGTATTTGGGCTATAATCCTCAAATAAACTAAATATTTTTAGGGTTAAAAACTATTAAATAAAAATTGACCAATAGGAAGAAATTGACAATATTTCCTACTTTTCGTAAGAATTTCGTTAACAGAATCACTTCATCATGTATTTACTTTTTCACCAACTCATTAAATGGACTAAGATTTTCTGTACGTGTATAATCCTCAAATAAACTAATTTTTTCTTGGGTTGAAAAATATTTAATCTAAAATTCACCAATAGGGAAGAAAATGACAGTATTTCCTACATTTTGTAAAAATTTCGTTAACAGAATAACTTCAAAATGTATTTACTTTTTCACCTACTCTTTAGATTAACTAAGTTTTGGATATCTGTATAGTCACCAAATAAATTAATTATTTCTTGGGCTAAAAAATAATTAATAAAAATTCGTTCATTAGTGAAGAAAATGACAGTATTTACGACTTTTTTGTAAGAATTTCGTTAACTGAATCACTTCATCATGTATTTACTTTTTCACCAACTCTTTAAATTAAGTAAGCTTTTGGATATGTGTATAATCACCAAATAAATAAATTATTTCTTGGGCTAAAAATAATTAATAAACATTCGTTCATTAGTGAAGAAAATGGCAGTATTTACGACTTTTGGTAAGAATTTCGTTGACAGAATAACTTCAAAATGTATTTACTTTTTCACCAACTCTTTAAATTGACTAAGGTTTTGGATATGTGTATAATCACCAAATAAACTAATTATTTCTTGGGCTAAAAAAAATTAATAAAAATTCGTTTATTAGTGAAGAAAATTACAGCATTTACGATTTTTGTAAGAATTTCGTTAATAGAATCCCTTCATCACGTATTTACCTTTTCACACACTCATTAAATGAACTCAGATTTTCTGAGTATGTATCTAATCGTCAAATAAACTAAATGTATCTTGGGTTAAAAAATATTAAATAAAAATTGTCCTATAATAAAGAAAATGACAGTATTTCCTTCGTTTTGTAAGAATTTCGTTAACAGAATCACTTCATCATGTATTTAATTTTTTCACCAACCCATTAAATAAACTAAAATTTCTGTAAGTTTATGTGTATAATCCTCAAATAAACTAGATTTTTCTTGGGTTAAAAATATTTAATAAAAATTGTCCAATAGGAAAGAAAATGACAGTTTTTTTCTACGTTTTGTAAGAATTTCGTAAAAAGAATCCCTTCATAACGTATTTACTTTTTCACCAACTCATTAAATGAACTAAGAATTTCGATGTGTGTGTAATCCTCAAATAAACTAAATATTTCTTGGGTTAAAAATATTTAATAGAAATTGTTCAATAGGAAAGAAAATGACAGTGTTTCCTACTTTTTGTAAGAATTTCATTAACATACTTCATCACTAATAATCACTAGTCTGTGTATCCTCGATGTTTAGCCATGCCTTTTAATTTATACGGAAATGCAAAAAAGAACCTTTAGAGATAATCAGCATTGGCAATATTTTCATGTTTTCGTTAAGATTTGGTCAACAGATTCGCAAAAGATCAGGTAATTAGTAACGTCTGTTCATACCATTTAATTATTTGATAAAAAAAAATCCAGAAATTATCAGCATCAGCATTACAACCGCTGCAAAATTTGAAATATTATGTAATTGTTTATTTATTTGTCAGATAGTGCGAATTAATTAATTGAATTTTGATTTAACAAATGCCACTTACTCTTTCCAGAATTATATCCTTATTAATATCATACGAAGATCTAAATTAAATATTGTTATTCATAATGTTTCAGAATTGGAAATCAATACATCAAAGTTCAACAACTAATATTTCTTTTATTTACACAATAGTTTTTTTTTTCATTGATGTACAAGCAACAGTATAATTACACTAACACAGATTTCTATTTTTCTCTTAACTGAAGCACACTATATTTTGAGTCTTCGATTACAATATTTCTTCTGCAGAATTAAAAACAACGATATTTTGGAATTAGGTCCATTGTTTAAAAGAAAATTAACTGTAATATAACTGAAATAATTTTTACTGTATTTTTCTTAAAACAAAATTAACATTTTAATTTTAAAATTCTTTGATACGCTTGATAAAAACAATAGCTTAAAATTATTTTAATATTATTATTTTTGTCTATAGTTAATAGTTTTAATATTACATACACACTTTGTTACATTTTAAATGACCTTCTAAACAATAGTAAGATTTATTAATTTACAGTAGTGCATTGTAAATTAAAACAAATCTTCAAGAAAAAAATCTATATATTCTGCGAATGAACCATGTATTTTTTTTCTTAAAACATTATATACAATTTTGTATTTGTGACTCGTAAAATTTTCTACAAAAAAAAAAAACTTTAAGAAAAACGAAACTTTTTAATAAATTTTATTAATTTTTCATATTTTTATGGAAACAAAGTGCAATAAAATTAACTATCACAGATAAAAGATTTTCAAATTTATATTTACTTAAAAGACCCAAAGCACTTAATTATTACGTTTTGTATGGAGTATGACACATTGAATTCCGGATTTTCAAAATACGACTTACATTACATTGCCTTTGCTTTTTTTTAACCTACTACAACAATTATATACATTCATTATACAATTTATAACATAATTTGCAAATTGTTTAACTCATGTGGGCAGCTTAATTTATATAAGTATAGTATTTTTACATGGGCTAGAAATTTTTGTTTGTTATTTAATATCGACTATATTTATAAATATTGTGCTAAGACTAAAGTTTTACATAATATAGTTTCTTTGCCATGCTTATACTTTGGGGGGGGGGGATTTTCAATCTTAAGAACAAAAGAGGCAGACAGAGGCACATCGAGAGATGGTAGATATTTCTAATTATCAGTCAGTGGGTGGCTAAAGTGATTTACAAATTAAAATCATAAGTGACACGCTTCAATTTAATTTATTTTATATTTTAGTAAGGCTATAAATATTTTTTTTCAGGAAACTTATGCTAAATTATTGCTGAAAGTTTTTTCTTTAACGCTAGTTTATTAAAAAATAAATCTGTTGAGACTGAGAATAAACTAAATATTAATTTAATACACGCAGGTATGATAAGCGCAGATAATTTATTAGCATATTTATTGCTAATTTAAGTACGTAGTGATATAAGGCCATTAATAAATAATTTTTTTTTTTAATTTTCCAATTTGTTGAACAGGTGAGCAATATTAAAATTACGAGGCTAATATGATATGTATCGATAGTAAATCAGTACTTTATAGGGTATTTTTTTAAATTATTTTTTAAAGTGGAATTTTGAAAAGGTTTTTTTTTTAAGTCAGGTGAAAAAGAAAAATTGTAGGTAGGCCAGTAATAAAATCACTAGTTACATTTACAAAACTTTATGCTTCTTAAACACTAAACAATTTTAATATAATTCTCTTTATAAATATACTTTTTATTACATTCTATAACACGGAATGATATGTATTTGTTCGTCCTTGGCTGAACATCTTAGAGCCTAAAATCTTAAAAATTAAAACCAATCTTGATTTTCGCAAGTCGCCACCTGGTCGGATTACTGTTTTAAAATAACGAGAACGACATAAATAAAACCGGATGGCGTGTCATGAAGATCAAGATGGTAAATTACAAACTATGTTTACAAATGACAACACGCCACACACTCCAGACGCAATTTCCCATTATGTACATGCTACACGTGCTACACACAAACAATTGTAATATATTTAAAAATTAAAAACAAACAAATTATACAAATTTTTTTTTAAATAGAAAAATTTCTCAACTATACAGCGATGAATTCGGGGAGGGATAAATTTCCTTTTTAAATCTATAAACGCTCAACATAAGCGGACACATCACAGAAAGATTTTATGTTTTTCCACCCCCCACTTGCGTTCAGACTCTCACAACACTTATGCACCACTATATTCAAAATATATCGTACCGAAATCACACGGATTAAAGTATTATGCTCTAAATTTTTATACAAAAAAAAATTTTAAAAAAATGTATTCCCCAAATAAGTACAATCTAATCAATTCGAGGGAGAGTCAAGGTAAATTTTTGAATTAACATAAAACGCCAGTTTTGTGATTTATGTGATAGAATTGGCTCTAAGCTTAACTTAATTTATGATAATTAGTGTTAACGACTCAATTTCTATTGTGAACACTCACAGGAATTTATTTCATTAACGTATCGAAACTCAAATTTTTTTTTAAAATTTACATCATAAAATCACGGTCAAAAGTAAACAATATACAACAATTATTAAAATTTATTTATTTTTGAATTAACTTATTAACTTAAAAATTAACTTGAATTAATTTTTTCATACATAATTTTTTCATAATTTTTTTTTTATAGTGCTGCCTAGAGCCTGGTTCTTTAATAAATTATTCTTAATAATGAAAGCACTGATGTACTTTGTATATAATAAAAAATCAAATGTAACAAACATCGATATTTAATAAATAATCGCACTTTTTACTAACGAAGTTCTAAATATTTAAAACCCAAAGAAAATTTCCAAAAATGTCATCTAAGACACCGGTTTTTATAATTCGTTGCAATAATATAATAGATAGGTTCTAGGTTGGTTATCAAAAAATGATTTTTAAAATCCGGATCTGAAAGGATTTCTATCGGCTTCGCTCTCAGGACGACGGAAAGGATTTGTATCACCGCTCGGCTCCTGTTGGGGTTGGTAGGTTTGCCCAGTCTGATAGCCGTGTCCACTTTGAAAGGGTTGTTGGTACTGTGATTGGGAGGTTTGGTACTGAGGTGATTGGTAGGGTTGCTGAGGGGCAGGCTGATAGCTAGTTTGCCCCTGGGCCGGTCTGTATTGCGGCGTTTGGTAACCTTGCTGGGGTTGTTGATAGGTAGACTGCTGGACAGGCGCTTGTGGCAATTGTCTTTGGTACGCCGTCTCCGGTTTTTGAGACTCCTGCTTGTACCGGTCCATACTGGTCTCTTCGAACTTCTCCTCAGGTTGATATTCCAAATGGTTTTTAACCTCTCCAGTTACCGGCTGTTGATCTTGCATCGTATAAGTCTGATACTGTTTATCGGGTGGATCTGCCATGAGTATATTCGCTTCGTTTTCAAACGGCTTGAAATCGTATATGTTTCTCAAGTACATCAAAACAGGAGCGTATAGGAGGTTTGAAAATGCGATTCCTATGTTTAAAGCTGTAAAGCCGATCGCTTCGACGACATTGCCCGCGATTATCGGTCCGATTGCGTACGCCATGGAATAGGAGATGTCCGCGATGGCGTAAATACTTCCGTAGACGGAGACGTACCTCACGTCTACCAGGTAGCCCAGGGTCGGCAGGAGGGCAGTGTCGATAAGCGCGATTCCGAAACATATACCGCAAATTGGTATCATTAAGACTTTATACGAGCTTGAAAACGGTATGATAAAACAGCAAAGTCCTTCAAGCGCCAAACCACCTGCTGCCATCAGCCATTGATAATGCGGATATTTCCTGGCCATTTTTACAGTTAAAATGACCCCGAGTACATGAGGGAAGAAAGCTGGCAGCCAAATCATGCCGATTTTCCAGTTATCCGTGGTCAAATTGTCCTCCATCCAAAGTGAAATGGTCGGCTCTAGAAAAGCAAGCGCGACGTTTGACATCATGAGGGCACCGGAGCATACTGCGATGTAAGGGTCAATGAATAATTTCCAAATCGGTACTGTGTCTTTTTGGTTGGACAGTTGACGGTTTTCCTTTAAAGTTTCTGACAATGGTTTCATAACTAGCAATAGCATAAAACCATCGAGTAAAGATACGAACGCGAGGATTAGAAAGGGGACTTCTTTTCCTGCGAATTGGTACAAAGCTCCTCCGAATGGTGGCGCGACGAGACACCCGAAGCTGATAAATGCCAACGCGATGCCCAACGCTTTAGAACGTTCGTTCTCTTCAGTGAACCTGTCTGCGATCATAGCCAGACCGGAAGTGTCCGCAAATGCCGATCCGACTCCTTGAAGGCTCCTGGCAAAAAATAAAACACCGTAGCTTCCACCGCAGGCGAAGACGGCCGTGGACAAGAACATTATGCACAGTCCTATCATCATAGGCACGTCATAACCTATCTTATCGATGAGTGCGCCCGAAAACGGATTTACCATCAGTTGGACTATCGCTTTCGACGCGAAAAGTATCCCCGTGGCACTGTCTTGTCCGTGGTGGTCCCTCGGCCTAGGAGGCATCGTCGCTCTCGTCCCGTTGATTAAAGGTCCCAGCGTCGTGACTTCCGGTTCTCCCCAGGCACCGACGTACCTCAAATAGTCCGGTATGATCGGTACTATAACCATATACAACATATTGTCTAACAACAAAGCTATAGATACAATAACTAAAATCAATTTCCTTTGGTTTTTCGGCTCTTGTAATTTCGCCCATACTATATCCTTGACTTCCCCGACCTCTAAATTTATTGCCGGAATGGTCCATGTTTTCACACGGTTCCAACATCCTTTCAACGGATTCCCTTCCATTTTACCCTTATCGATCTACAGCTATACAATAAAAAGTACTTATTCTAAGAACCACTACCACTTATTATTATCGAAGTTAATGTGGTCGTCCGCATCTCGGTGTGATGGACAGCTCAAACGCAGCCGACTTCTCTCGGTCCCTGGTAGATCTCCAAGTTCTCACTGGGTTGTACAAGCCGATCGGCGAGCGAGCATGATCACAAACCTTTAAAAAGATACAAAAAAACGGAATTAATTCAAAAGGCCAATCTCTTTTTTTTTCTTTTTTTTAAATTCTTTATAAATCTTGGCATTGATTATTTCATTACTGCAACTTTTCACATTAAGATTTTATCCGATTTGTATCCCATCAAAGGTGTGAGATCATATGAAATATTATTTTTTTACCAAGGACCTGAGTCTCCGGCCACGACACCTTTGCAACTTGGTATATTACAACGGCGTTTTGGCCAGGATCTAGCTGTAATACAAGAATACAACACCAAAGAAAATAAAAAAATGTGACATTCATAAATTTTCTATTAAAAGAACCATTTGCAAATTAGAAAAAAATATCAAAAGCAGCACATAATGAAATACAATGCTATCAAGATTTCTATTTTTTTTTACAAATCCTTGTCAAATTTTTCAAAAGTAATAGTCTAAATTTTTATAACTCAATTATCAAAAATTGAATAAAATTTAATAATTTCAAGTTTTTAGACAACTATTGTATCTATCACAATGCACAATGGCTTGTCATCTAAGATTATTATTTTATGTCTATAAAAATAGAACTATCATCCCGGCTTTTCATGTTGACGATTATAAACCATTGCTCCATGTTTTTATACAGGGTGTTTCACTACTCCTACGATAAAGTTCATCAAGTGTTTCTACACCTCAAAAGTAACACAAAAGTTCGTATGAACCATAGTCCGATTCTCATCCTATTCACAGTTTTTTTCTAGTTTTTTCGGTTTTCGTCATAAATCTACTCGTAGCTCTTGAACTATTAATTTTTTGGGAAATCCAAAAACCAATGAAATAAGCGTAAAATTTCTTTTAAAAAAGCACTATCCTCGAACAATTTAATTTTCGGTAAAAAAATTAAATCTTTCAAAAACTGCTAAATTTAAATTTTTTAACAGAAATAAATTTGCAACCTCGTTGGCAAAATTAACGATAGACCTTTGCCAATTTCATAAAAACCTCTTCGTAAGCTTTCTAGAGTATAGACTTTTTTTAAATTACCATGAACCAAAATGCAGAAATTTTGATAAGTGGGAAAAAATGGTGGACGCTGTAAGAAGGGGGAATGAAAATCTAGTATAATTTAACTTTGTGTCCTCGGCAAAATTAACGGTAGACCTTGGCCAATTTCATTAAAACCTCTTCGTAAGCTTTCTAGCTGTACAGACTTTTTTTAAATTACCATGAACCAAAATGCAGAAATTTTGATAAGTGGGAAAAAACGGTGGACGCTGTAAGAAGGGGGAATGAAAATCTAGTATAATTTAACTTTGTGTCCTCGGCAAGGTTAACGGTAGACCTTGGCCAATTTCATAAAAACCTCTTCTTAACCTTTCTAGCAGTATAGACTTTTTTCAAATTACCATGAACCAAAATGCAGAAATTTTGATAAGTGAGAAAAAATGGTGGACGCTGTAAGGATGGGGAATGAAAATCTAGTATAATTTAACTTTGTATCCTCGGCAAAATTAACGATAGATTTGCGTCGTTATGACAGCCAAAGTAGGTAGTGTAAATATTTGGGATTGATATACAAAGAACACTAAGTGGACCAGTATACGTGGATTTTTCTTTTTTCAAAATACTCTACCAGACTTGCTGGAGGTCGTTTCTTTAACAGTAAGAACTCAGATCATTTTGCATCATGATGGAGGTCCATCTCATTTTAGTGGGCTGTTCAACATTGACAATATTCAATTAATTAATATTTTTATGTAAGGCGTAGTTAGCCGAATGTGTTGGGTTCGAATCCCGCTTGTGACACTAGCTTTTTCATTTCAACCAAAACCTTACATAAAAAGATAGGTTCTCTCAACACGACACGCAAGAATGGCACAATTACGCCGAAAACAAACACTTTGAGCCCTGAAGATGATCTCAATAATGATCGAAACGTCGGCACGATAAAGACGTTTTTCTGAAACTTACATCACACCAGACAGCACCTCACGATTTCTGAACAATCATCGACTAATCGTCACGATTCACCTCACCACACCGTAAAAAATTAATTAATAGAAAGAAGAAATTTGGTCAATCGGACCTCTAAATATAATGGATTGACAACTTTTTTTAAAAGTTAAATTTTGCCCAGGACAAAATGTTGAATTCAAGAATTATTCAGAAATCGTGAGATGCGGTCTGGTGTGATGTAGGTTTCAGAAAAACATTTTCTTTATCGTGCCAACGTTTCGATCTTTATTGAGCCCTGAAGATGATCTCAATAAAGATCGAAACGTTGGCACGATAAAGAAAATGTTTTTCTGAAACCTACATCTCACCAGACCGCATATCACGATTTCTGAATAATTATCGATTAACGGTCACTAATCACCACACACGTTGAATTCAAGATAAACCGCACTTACTCTTTTTCACACTGTTACCACTTTTTTTTCAATTTAGCATAAAATTTCTGCATTTTGGTTCGCTGTAATTAAAGAAAATGGTATAGCACTAAAATGCTTATTTAGCGAAGAAATTTTTATGAAATTTGCAAAGTCTATCGTAAATTTTTCTTTTTTTTACTTGTAAATTACCACTTTTCCGAAGTAGAAAATTTAATTTTTTACAGGTTTTAAATTTAGCTGTTTTTGAAAGATTTAAAGTTTTCTTTTAGCAAAAGTTAAATTATTCTAGAAGGGTGCTTTCTTAAACGAAATTTAACATTTTTTTAACCTTTTTCGATTTCCGGAAAAGTGAACAGTTCAAAAACTGCGGGTAGATTTATAATAAAATATATTAGATCGTTGAAAAAACAAAATGTTGAAATTCTGCGAAAGGTAACTAATCGTACGTACTTTTTTTGTTGAACTTGAGGTGTAGTACCTGACTAACTTTGTCCTACGAGTAGTGAAACACCTTGTATAAGAAGAATGCAGATAAGGCCAAAAAGCTCGCATTTTGTTCGATGTAAGTAAAGAAAATGGTACAGCCCTAGAAATCTTATTTACCGAAGAAGTTATAAAATTTTCGAACCTCTATCATGAATATTTTTCCGAGGTAGAAAATTTAATGTTTTACAGGTTTTAAATGTAGCTGTNCGTGACCTCGATCCACTCGGACACTAACTTCCCATCTCAACCCCACCTTTTGAATTTTCCCTCCTTTTTGCCATTTTTCAATCCCGCTCGTGCCATTGAATTTTTTAATCTCAACTAAAAACCTTAATTAATTGAAATATATTAATAGGTCAAGCGGACCACGAACTTATTGAATTTAACGAAAACGTAAAATTTTGAAATTCTGCGAAAGGTAATCAATCGTACAATGCTTCGTATGAACTTTTTCGTTGAACTTGAGATGTAGAACGTGACTAACTTTGTCGTACGAGTAGTGAAACACCCTTTATAAAAAAAAATGCAGATAACCCTAAAAAGCTCGTAAAATTCATCGCTCTTGACAAATAAGAATCACACAGTTAACAAGGACTTACACGAAAGGAAAAATTCACCAGAAGTCGACCAGCCGAGCGATTAATCTTTCAAAGAAAGGTACAATACAGTCTCGCCTCGGGGTTGTAAGTGCTTGGGGAGGATTGTTCGGGGATCTGTCGTACGAAAAGGGTCGCCTTCAAAGCCGTGTCCACGCAAGGTTTCTTCTAAGCTTCCTTTTCAGGACAAATCCGAGGATTTGACGGCAAATTGCCCTACGAAAAGCCTCATCTGGCTTTTTTTCCCTCGTATTGGTTACCACTGGTCAAATTAAAATATAATCTGGCCGTAAATTTATAAAACATTGTCAATCTTGAAAGTTTATTGTGAATATCGAGCCAGGTTTTGTTATTCTATCAACGTTGACAGATCCCATTTCATTCTCTGATCCCAAACCTTTGATAGTAATCTATGTAAAAAAAGGGATTCCAGAACAAATATAAAACCTGACTAGTAGAGAAACCGGATTGAGATAACCCTGTTTGACAAATCCTGAAACATCCCTCCGACGTCGTGGCTTATCTTAATATTCATCAGAATCATGGAAAATAAAATGGTAAGATTTTTTTAAAAAATCTATAAATCGTGAACATTCACGTGTTTTTTGAATATCTAATAGTGGTTATCTTTGTCAAACCTACGAGTAAACAGTAAATCACGTTGTTTTTTTTTGGCTTTTTATTGTATATTACCCGGGGACTGCGGTAGCCGAGTGGTTAGCATGAGAGACTCTCACGCCGCGGTCGTGGGTTCGATTCCCACCGTCGCCTCTGGCCCTTTTTTTCACAATAACCCCCCCAAATTTGAACACACATATACGAATTGTCACATGGCTAATATGCATAGTTCATAACGCCAAAAAAAAATTGTATATTACAACTACCTGCATTTTGGTATTTGGTATATAGTAATAATGTATGAATAAATCATTATGAAAACAAGAGTGGAGAAACTACCCACTGGTAGTACTCCTAACTATTCTTTATTCAATTGTCACTGGATAGAAGATCCCGTGGCCATCGTCTTTTTAGTCGGCGAAGAGGGTTGGAAGGAATTCGTCGGGATGAGAGGATTTGAATTTGAGGATTTATAGTGGTTGGGAAGTTTGTGAAAAATTTTTGGTAACGGGAGTGGATTACATCTTGGACAAAAGGAATATTTAGGTCTTTATGGGTAGTATCGTTGGACACATAAAAAGGACCATTTTTCTGAGGATGATGGATTGGGCTCTTTGGATGCGTAGGATATTGGAATGTTTAGCTGAACCCCGCACTTCCAGTCCATAAGTTCATATTGGCTTCACTAGGGTGATATAAAGTAGTCTTTTGTTTAAGAAAGGTAGGTTAGAACGTCTGTCAAGAAGTCTTGAAAGTGCTCTGTAACGTTTCATAACTTCTTGCCGTTTCAGTCGTGTGTGGGGATTCCACGTCAGACGTTTGTCAATGTATAGTCATAGGTACCGCACCTTACCCACAGTTGGTACGAGTATTTGATTGAAGTAGACTGGAGGAAGGATCTTTTGAGGAAGTTGAAGGTTATG